TGTTGTAGAACACAACAATGCCGAGTATAAATTAATATAAGGTGACATTCCTTTTGTAGTAGATTCACCACTTCGTCACTCTTAGGTCCAAATGTTTTCCTTGTTGCTTAATACCTGTAATATATGCTATGACCGTGTCTTACGAAAAGAGTATACATTTCGTATGTTTACAACGTAAGAGTCAAAATACTTTTATATATTTAATATTTGTTTTTCGGAAAGTGAGCAACACACAAATTTTCGAATTCATCAACGAATACTTTAACATTTTCCACTGTATCTTGTTTTATTTTTGAATGTCAAAGTTTCGTAGCCTTACAGCATAAATACCAGAAACTTTTAAATTGTGGGAAGGGGAGAGTTTTTAGGATTCCAGATTAAAAGGAGCCGATTATTTCAAACAGGGGGTAAAGTAGTTCAAATGGTAAGATACCAGCTTTTGCTACTATCAGGGTTGACTGAATTATGTTGAAATACGAATAACATTTGAAGCTGAATATGCATATTTCATAGACCTTATCGCGTGTGTCTGACTGTTGCAGATATCGACTGTTACAATGAATAACTTGCCAGAAGATTGTCTTTTAGAGATCTTTTCTTATTTGAGTGCCGAAGACTTGGCCACGTTAGTCCGCCATGATGACACACGCTGGATGATGGTCTCTCAGAGGGTTTGCTTGTGGAGGCACATCACCTTCACACCGGCAATCACACTGTCTGAAGAAGACATTGCGCACTATCTAAAGAACATGCCGAACTTGTGGTCTTTCCGTCTGCGCCACCAAAAGATTGTAGACAAAATTGTGACCGCGTTGTGTCACCACTGTACTGACCTCAGGCGTGTAGTCATGGAGCGGAAACTGGGACCCAGCTTGAACAAGGTGGAAGAACTCTTGAGGAAGTTCCCAAATATGGAAATTCTAGTCGTTTCTATTCCTCACTCACAATTCAGCATTGATTACGCAAAATTATCTGGAAAAGCGAACACGTTCAATGATCTTACAGTTTTCAGAAACATCAGTTTCAGATCGATTTCATGGACGATGATCAAGTCACTCAGTCATGAGGATCCCACTCATACGAGCAGCTTAACTTTACTGGAAGCGGACATCAAGAAAACTCTATGCGAAAGAGTAAATGAATTACAAACCATAGGATTAGTTTGTAAATTAACGTCGCACATTTTAAAATTAATTTCGTACTGTAAAAACTTGGCGTACCTGTTCATAGATAACGAAACCACGGACGAAATAGAAATTGATTTTCAGCCCCTCAGCATTTTAAAGCGTTTAGATACTTTGCAGATATTGTGTATGCATAATTCAATGATAAAGTGGAATATGTCTTATGAAAGTGTTGAATTTTCACGTTTGGTTAAACTGGAAATTGTCAATTCCGGTAAGGTGCTTCGTAGGATTTTAAGAGTACTATTGAGTGTTTGCCCAGAGCTGAGATACCTTAATGTGCAACAAAGTCTTATAACAAATCATGATCTTGAAACCATATATCTCTGTAAACATTTGGTACACCTTGATGCTTCTGAGAACTACATCTTAACTGACAAATGTATGGCGCATGTGGCTCGTGGGTGCTACAGGCTACAGTTCCTAGACATTTCCAACTGCTGCCTCATGACTAGAAACGTTTTCAAAATTCTACAGAAGTGCAGGGGTCTGCAGACTCTCGTGGCAAAAGGTAACGGGTTTAGTGGAATCGATTCAAACAAAATGTCAGAACTATTTCCGTGTTTGCAAGAAATTTGTTTAGAAACACCAAGATGGTCGCGTAGGAGAAGGACAACCATAATGTCACGAGAAGTCTCTCAGGAACAAAGAAATGACAACTTTGAATAAAAGTGTGTGTTTGAACTTTTCACTGCATGATTTAAATTGTTTTTACAATGAAATGTGATATTCTAATTTAATGAAATATAATTATATGAAAATGAGTCGATAATTCTGAAGTATCTTTAAATGTGTTGTGTTTATAACATAAAATGCTTCGCCCTGATAAATATTTATTATAAAATTACGTTGTAACATATTATTATACAAAAGCAAATAATAATTGAGTTTCATAAACATGAGGCCTGGAAGGAAAAGATCACTAACGAGACCTAAGTGTAGTTCGGAGGGCAAAGTTAGATTTATCTTAAAGAGAAAGTTTCTGATTGATTCTTGATTTAACTACGCTGTTCCAGCTACCCCGTGGAACGTTAAGTTCAATCTTCAAACGATGTAAAGGAAAGTGCTTATGACCTATTTAATGTACTATCTCAATATGAGCCTTGAGGAACTGAGGATTACCACTAAACTCCTGTCACGATAGCAGTCCGTGGGTCCATTCTGGAATCTCCCGAACCAGAAGCATGAGTTCTAATCGTTTGTCCGCGACGCTCGGGAAATAGGGTAAGAGGTGGATTGAAGTTGCGTCTATTTCCAGACTTTTGTGTGCACGTAATGAATTCCAGTTTCTATAAAGTCGGGGAACTTCTTCACTAGCTGAGGGACTGTTAGCCTCACAAGAATGACTCCGTCCTGTATGTCGTATGAGTTGCTCCACGTCAAAGAAATTTCTAGAACTACTCCGCAGTAAGTGAACGTTCTTCATTAGTATCGATAACATCAAATAAATCGATCAGCACGAAGCTAGCAACAAGTCCATTAATTTCTTGCTTTAGTTTGCTGCTGAAGTCGGATCAACTAACATCTCTTCACTTCTCTCCGTAATTTTGGTGACGGTGCAGGTACACAGTCAAACTGATATGTTTCGGTGATTTAGATAGTCAAATAATAGGAACGCAAAGAAGCACATTTACGATGTCTATCTTCAAATCAGTGTGTGTGTAATTCGTAAGAACTGCTAATAGAAGAATTAGGTAGACTACATTTCTTGTGGCTACATTTATTTATAAGAAATGTAAATGTAAAATATAAGAGTTTTTCCAGCTCAACGCGTATTCTTTGTAAACTAATTTCATTTATTCCTCCAGTACAACAGAGCTGTTATTTAGTGGTAGACAAGGTGCTGATGAATAAAAGCTATTTGAGTATGAACACCGCAGTTAAGGAATGAAAGGATTCTGTAAACGTTTCAAGTTGCAGACTTGCGTTCTCCTTGACTGAACGATATTCCAGAATAGATTAGAATTTTACATGCCATAGATCTTTCGTAGGCCCAAGCCAAGGATGTAGAACAGGTCATAAAACAAATATGATACTTATTTCTAATACAAAAATGAGTCACATAGTTATAACAGAATTAGACTGGCCTAGCTGAAAACTGTAAACAGATTCCTTACCTATACTGGCAGGTGTGCTGCAAACCTATTGAGGTGGGGATATCCTTATGTGTCTGACTAGTGTTCCTGTGGACAAACACAGACAATGGATCACCTCCTGGCTTGCCCCATCTTAGATTCTCCCTGCACAAGCGAAGATTTGGCTACATGTACAGACACTGCCATTCCTCATGCCCGATATTGGATTCAAATATAGTTTGTATATATGTTGTAAATTTAGTTTTATATTTATTCTATACTAAATTTTCCCCCACATTCTTTTTTATCTCTATGTTATTAATAGTACTCTGTTTAATGATTTCTACTTTGAAAGGTGTATATTTGGATACGAAATAAATAAACAGTACTTTACAGTCAACTACAGTAATACAGCAAAAACAGTTACACAAGGAAGCATGCCTGCTATTGTTTACGTGTTTTTATAGCGACTGAGAATTCTTGGTCGAGGTAAATTCTTCTATAGAGTAGGAGTGAGATAGAAGATACTGTTTAGTGCTGGCTTAAACTTATTTCTTTCATGATTCAGACTACTTGTGGGGCGGGGGGGTGATATTGAATACCTTAATTCCAGTATATCAAAGTCCTTTTCGATATTTATCGAGTTTAGTGTTTTGTGTATAAACGTTATGTATGTATCTTGTACTTATATTGTAGATATTTGAGTTTTCTAGAAATCATTTATTATCCACTATAAGTTATAACAGAGAGCAAGAATTCAAAGACTGGTGGAAAAATTAGATTTCGAGGTTCTACCTTGAGTGCGTGCCATTATTTCTTTTGGGTGTAAAATACATTTTTCCTTCCCTGTTGACTTTTTCCAGGAAATAAATCCAAGTGACTTAATCAAGATTTCATTTTTAATAGTGCTTTGGAAAGCCGATTGACGAAAATAACAATTTATTGCGTAGATTTAAAAGTTAATTGTTTGGTTGATGTCAGTGTAGATTCTTTCATTAGCAAATTTGATCTTTACATTTACTTATATTTTATTTGAAGAAACATCTGTTCATTTAGCATCAGAAATTCTGAAAGTCGATTGATTTGGTGATCCTTTCAAAAACACGGTAGGCTTTGGTAGTGGGTAGCGGAGGGGGAAGAAACTGATTTTCTGACTTCTTTTTACATTATGAACAAGTAGTCGTAGACCCGGCTTTCGGAACGTAGTGATTTTATGATGAAATAATTTTGACAACGGACAAAGCCCAAAAGAACAATTTTATACACGATTAAAAATAGTTTTTCTAGTCTTATTAATTCTGACAATCTTTTGCTTGATTTGTGCCAACTTTAATATCAACTACGAGTTAAAGGTATTTATCAACATTCTTTCAAATGTTGCAGATGGGAAGCGAAAGTATTTTGAGTCTGCCCAATGAACTGTTGACAGAAATATTCTCTTACTTGAGCCCTGAGGATTTGGTGGACAAAGTACGTAAGACCTGTACACGCTGGAGGGACATAACTTACACAGACGTTCTGTGGAGAATGGTCACTTTCAGGCCATCTTATCAAATGTCCGACCCCGATCTTCTCTCCTACATAAAAGAGATGCCACAACTTACATCTTTCGTTCTAAATCACGAAAGGGATACCAGCATGATCATAAATACAATGCGTGAACATTGCCACGATATTAAAAGTGTAATTATAAGAAATAAAGTAGGAACTAATAAGAACAGTATAACAGACATGTTGCTTACGTTCCCAAACATGGAATGCTTTGACGTTGTCGCAAGTGAATCACGGTTAAGCTTAGATTATGCTCAGCTTTATGGAATGTTCCACAGTCGGAGTTCTGTTAACATGTTGACTAAGGAAGGC